AAAACACAGGCTGGGCAAACCACGAAAAGCTTGGACATCTGCGGGTGTCAGCCTGTGTACCAGGGGACACTGGGCAGGGCGGGGGACTCCAGAAGAGCAGCTGAACCTTGAAGGGGTGCTGCCCAAACCAGTAGTGGTGAGTGCAAGGGGCCTGTGATGAGGTCCCAAAGGGCTCCAGAGGGGTCTTCACCCGGCCAGCTCTTGAAAGTGACCAGTTAGGGCTCCACTCCGGGAGAGTTCTCAGCTAGTACACAGGTGGTGAAGATTTTGTGTTGTTATTTTGTTGCATGTATAAGGTAAGACAAAGCAAATGAGTAATTCTGGGGTATTCTGTCATATCCTACCTATATCCTTGAGAACCAGGATTTGGGGCATGGAAGAGAGGAGATCCAGGAATACTATAGATGAGCTTAGGCAAAAGTTTTATCACCCTGCAATTGAATTGAGAGTACAAGTACGAACTCCTGAGGTGTGCGGGTGTTATGTGTTTAGAATATGAGCTACATGTTCTTGAACATCACCACTGAGAAAAATCATGCAATAAAAACAACGGGGCTTATGGTGAAAATGGGGTTAAGGGAATAACACTCAGAAACTTAATCAGTGACACATTTTTTAAAAGGATAGAAACTTAGCAAAGATGGTAGCACATTTCTATACATGTTAATTGGTGAAGAAATATATAAACATGGAAACAAACAGGCATTTTCCTTGAAAAAGGCCTGGAGTTTGCTTGCAGTGGTGGCACGGGGAGGATCGTGGTGCGTTAGGCGGTGCGCAGACGTAGCAGGGGGCGTACCTGAAACTGGGCGGAAAGCTGCGACACCGCCGTGGGTGGCTGGCTCATCGTCCTCTATCGAGCGTTGATAGGATTTTTCATGGCCTTAAGTCTGGGTCATTTTTTCTGCCTTTGAGATGAAGGCCTTTGAAGCATGCATTTATAATAGATACCCCTTTCTTCACAATCGAAAATGTCATCCATTGTATAGCTGCCTTCGGTGTCATTGCTGGAGATTCTTCTACTGGCTTTCCATCTGTACAGTGGAAAACTCTGGAGACTGAAGGGATGTTTGAAACCACCGGCCACTTCTAGCAGTGAAAGGTCTCTCTTCTGCAGGATTTGGCTATTTTGATTTAAGGTTTTTGTATAAAGGTTGTGTTTTCTCTTTGTGGAAAAACGTATTCCAGATTTTTTTCTTTTGCTATTTTGCCTATTCTTACACAGCTTGGTTCAGCATCACCTAATATGTCTCCAGTATAAAATCACCCATTGACAAATGCAAAATTTATGTTGGGCTCAATTTGTTCCTTAATATAGCAATCATGGTTGAACAAATTTGCATTTTTAAAACAAGTGTTATAGGAAAACTGTCTATGGGTAGAATCCACACCACCCCCCATTAACCCTTTAGCTCTGTCCACTGAAAGCACCGCAAAGAATGACTAACGTTTTAATAAATTAGCAATGAGCGTCCCTGGCATCATGTTTCACTACAAGAAATCAGGGCTTCTTGGAGGAATGGAGGCTTACAGGTCTGGGGCACAAGCTGCGTAAGATGTGCCTGGAGCACCTTGTCATTCCACAGAGCAGGGACAGTGTCAACGACTCCCAGGGTCAGGTCAGCAGGACCCAGGACCCAACTGAAGAAGCTCCCATTGCCAAAGATGGGACAATGTCTTTTATATAGATAATATTTGCATAAATGTATTAAAATTCATCAAATATGTTTAAATCCATGCATTCCTAATGACATTTGAAAAAAGCTAATCGGTCACTATTGGAGGATGAAAGGCCCTTGTCCATTATCTTGAAAACTGGTAAAAATAAAGAATCAAGTATTTGTCCTGCCTTCCCCTCGTGAATGGCAGCACTGAGTAACTGAATCATAAATGACAGGAAACATGTCTTCATGAAATTATTCCAACTACTAAATAGAAAAGAAACAATGGAACGTCACCATTCTGCGACCCCCAGTGAGTTAGCGGATCCAGGCGTTGACCATCAACAGCTGTCAACATCCTGAGCAGGGAGCCGCTTGGACACTCTGTGCCTCTTGATGAAAACACGCCACCAGCCGTCTATAGTTTTGCCCAAGAGGGTCACAGTTAAGTTTCATTAGGACTTTGGATCCAGCTACCAAGTTTCAGGAAATACAGAGCTCAGAGGAACATAGTAAACTGTTTCTCGAATATGCAATTAGCAAAATTCAGATTGTGAGAAACTTTACAGGTTAAAAGGCTCAGGTTCTTCAACAGGATATTTATAAAAATAGCAGAGAGTCTAGGTAGAATCTTTAGGTTAAAAGTGATTTTAAAGACCAAATTTTTAAAAATCGGCAAGGCAACATTATAGTGTCTTAAGGATATACTTTTTATATATAAAGCTAAAAGGAAACATAAGGAAAGGGTGGCTCTAAGAATCAGGGTAGTCAATCATGAAATGAAACCAGAGAAAACAGCAGAACTGTATTCCCCATGCACCTGTGTGTGTGGAGCGAGACTGATGCCAAGCACCTGCCTTTCTGGCTGTGCTTTTCCTAATCTGCCTCGTCTGGGCGTTATACAAACACTTGCCTCTGTAGCCAGATCTGTACCCTCTGCAGGAGCCTCCACCGGGCCATACATCTCCCGGCTGACCCTTCGGCATCCTTCGAACTGAAGCTGTTCCCTGGGAGGGACAGAGCCTCTCCTTTATCCCCAGATGTCCTCTCTAAGATCGCAAATTCAGTGTTTGCTTTTTGCCTCCATCTACGCAGGAAAACAACAAAAAACAAAACCAATGCCAGGCCAGTCTGAGTCGTTTTCCTCACGGTCCCTGCAAGAACCCAGGAGTCCTATTTGGCTGCTTCGTGACAAGCCAATTAGATAAAGATTGTTAATCAGAGTAATGAAGGGAGAAGGGACTGAAGGAAAAGAAGGAGGGAAGGAATGTGGCACAGGCAGTACTGGAGGAGAGAGAGAGCTGCCTGCCCCTGCCCAACCGCCATGTTTTTTTTCAGACTGTGTGCAAAGGAGCCAGTGGAAACAGCATAAACAATAAATGAGATGCATTAGATTGTGTGTGGGGGGGGGGAGACTGGAGTGCTGTTCCTTGCCGGCCAGGCTCATGGGCTCCCTATATTATCAACCAAGGTGAGTCCTTCTCAGGTGTCTTTACCTGCACGCCCACGTCTACTCAGGCCCTTCTGCAGAAGTTTGCATCCCATTTTACAAACAATATACCGAAACCCAAGGGCTGGTCATTTTTATTCTCAGCCTCGGCATTGAAGTTAACACAACCTGAAGGATCTTTTAGGTAATTGATGCATTTTATTAAAGTAGCTAACACTTGATTGGCGCTTTACAATTAACCAAGCATTTCCACATTGTCAAATGTTTCTCATAATCACACTGTAAAGTAGCTGTAGTGGCCAATTTTATAAACTAAAAAAGGAGTGAGTTTATTCCATGTGTTCCCCATGCGTGACCCATGGACATGAACAGTGGGGGCGGGTTGCCTGGGGGGAGGGGCTGGGTAGAGGTGGGCAAGGGGGAAAAGTGGGGACAACTGTAATAGCAAAACAATAAAAAAAGGAATTCATGTGTTTCTATTTTTCTTTCCATTGGACAATTTCCACCAGTTCCAATCCCTCCATCTACTAATTCACCTAGATTTGCATTATTTTTTTCCTCCCACTCAACAAATATGTACCGAGTACCTCCACGGGCCAGGCACTGAGGTAGGCAGAAGAATAGGAAATCCCAGTGAATATAGTCTTACCATTTTATTACACAAACTACCAAGCTGCCAGTTTTCCTCTTGATATGAATTTGATCCTGTGATAATTAGTTCTCCCTATTAAAAGAATAACAATAGATGCCATTCATTCTGCACTCACTAAGTGCCAATCATGGCCGTAGTCTACAAATGCAATTTTATTTAAAGCTTTGAGTCCATGTCTAAGCCCAGAGCTCATGCTTGTAAACAATATGCTGTAACACACAGTTCTTTTATAGAGGAGAACGCTTCACTTTTCTCATCGACTCCCCACCGTTTTACAGCCTCAGTGAGACCCAACTCCCAAGAGAGACACGTCGCACCTGTCTGACCCAACAGCATGATTCTGCCAGTATTTCTCTCCCACTGTATTTCCTCTTCACACCGGTCAGTGTTCCAAGTGAGGGTCTTTTCAGCAAAGGGGAATAAAGGAAGAACAGGTTTCCTTCTGAAGCCAAGACAGAAACTGCCTCTGGCCTACAGACATTGGATTCCTGTTGCCCAGGCCAATGAGACCTTGGAAAACTCAGGTTAGAGTCACACGTCCTGGCACCCACCACTTTCCAAGGTCATCCCAAATATCCCCTGATGCTCCAGGAAGGCACAAAGGAAGGGACCTCTCTCACAGAGGACTGGGCTCCCAAGGGTGATGGCCTTCCTGGCCTCATTTCTGATCACGCAGCCCTCATGGCAGCAGCATAGGCACCGACATCCACCCTGACCTCCTCAGAGTCTGCGCTTCCACAAGACCCCGGATGTTTGAATGCACATTAAAGTCTCAGTACGTGGGGAGGGAATGCACTGCAGTGCAGCGGTTTTCAAAGTTATGTCCCCAGGGGCGGGCAGCATCTGCACGGCCTGGTAATGTGTTGTGTGCAAATCCTTGGGCCCCACCCTAGACCAAGGGAATCAGAAACTTTGGCGGTGAGGCCCAGCCATCCCTGGGTAAGAAGCTTCTCACATCTTGAAGCACACTGAAGTTTGAGAGCCCTTGGTATAGACAGTTAATTACCTCTCTGAGCCCTGGCTCACTGAGATATACATCACATAGGCTGCAATCTTAGCCCACATTTGGGGGAACAAAAGGGATGTCCTGTGTGCTCGGGTTTTCCCTTCCCCATCTTATCGCCCTGGGGATAGTTCTGAAAACTCAAGCATTGGAACAAAACCTCTCTTACTTCTAATTTAGTCCTTCATTTGCATCGCCAATAATAATGGGAGGAACGAAATTCCAGGAAACCAATTGGCTTTTAAGCACTTTATTGTAACTAATCAGAAGCATGCCCAGGAACAGAAGGCCCAGGTTTCTCAGCCCAAGAATGAACAAGGGCACAGAACCACGAGGAGGAGGGGAGGGGCTCTTGTGGTCACAGCCTTGAGGGCGGGGGGCATGGACCCAACAACACTGGCACAAGACAGAGCCTGATCGTGGGGTGGGGTGGGGGAGCAGTATCTACACAGGCAGAAGAGGCAAGAAGATATGGAAGGATCACAGGCTGTCATAAAACAATCCAGTCCATCCCCCAACTCTCACCACTACCACATGGATCTCTCTCCAGACCTCGGACCTCCATTTCTTTAGTGTGGGAGGTACCAACACCACTCACTGATATTAAAGGAAAGAGTGAAATTGTACCCATTCCTTTAGCAGGTCTTTTTAAAAACTGTCCTATATGCCAGGCACAGTGCCAGGTACGCAAAGACAAACACGACTCCTGACCTCACAGAGCATGGGTTTTAGTGTGGAAGAAATAGGCGCCAATTACAACCTGTGCACAAGGCAGGGGAGCGCGTAACAAGGAGGCTGGTCTTGTCTCAGCTCAGGAAGGCTCCCTGGGGGAGGAGGTCTGAGCTGAGGTCTGCAGGAGTTAGCCCGGCAAAGGCAGATGTTGATGGTTGTGAGAACACGGCAGGCAAAGGACCTGAGCGGAGATGATGTCAGGTTAAGGATCAGGAAGAAGACTCAAAGAAGGGACAGCTGTGGTGGGTAGAGACCATGGTGGGCAGGTTTATAGAGTTTGGGGTCTTTATCCTAAAAACAGTGGGGAGTTTTTGAATGGTTTTAAGCAGAAGAGTAGCAGGGACAGACACATATTGCAATGCTCACTCTGTGCCTTGCAGAGGGCGTTGCAGACAACAGAGGAGAAGCTATGAGGCTAGTAGAGTGGTCCAGGGGATGCTGACCGAGTGCTGGAAGTGGAGGTGGGGGACGAATGCAGACTGGAGAGAGAAACTCAGATGAAATCCACAGACCTTGGGTAGATGGGACAGGAAATAGGAGGATGAAAAGGCATCAAGGGTATCTTTTAGGTCACCAGAAGATGACACCAGACAAGCGCTAAAAATAGGATGAGAGCTGGATTGAGAATGATGGAGCACTGGTCAGCTGCAAGTGCAGAAGTGGTGCACCCCAAAAGGACACGTGGTGGTCTGCAGTGACTAAGGCTCACTTAGTGATTAGTTAAAGTAGGTGTCCGAAGCTCTCAGCTATTCACAGTGATCTAATGTGTTGATTAGGGTCTTGGTCCTCCTGCTGCAATCTCTGGGCTTTGTTCATTCATTCACACCTTTACCAGCAGGTGGAAGGAGAAGGGAAAGATGGGGTAGGGGACCGGGTAACTCAGTTTAGGTACATGTGGTGAATAAATGGAAACTACACGGCCTCACCTACTCAGAGTGGAAGTTTACTGTGACTCTTTAGTTTATAGGACAGCAGTTCTGTCCCTGAAGGGGCTGACTGCATATAAATGCAATTTACATCTCTGGCAACTTTCTACAACCACCCTTTAATGAATTAGTCAAACCATCAAGCATCCAGATTGGTTCCTGCCAACCTCTCATCTTCCAGGTTGTTTGCCTTTAAAGCTTAGAATGGAATTGAAGAGTATTTATAGCGATGGGACATTTTTGTGGGCTGAGGGGAAGAAGTCTTCGATAAATAAACAGGAGAGAATTGCAGAAAATAAACCCGGTCAGCAGGGGTTTTAGGCAGGTCTCCAGTGACTTGTTGCTTGTTTACCAAAGGTGGTCAGCAACCGCCACTGGGCTTGGAGGTTATTTGTGTGGAAAAGAGAATGAAAAACAACAATAAAAATTTACTTATACACAACCTATTTGAGGATGAAGAACGCTGATGGATTTAGGATTCTGTATTAGTCAGGGTTGGGGCAGGAATCAAACAGTACATTCAGAAGAGATAATTAAAGATAAATTAATGAAGGGACTATTTCTGAGGGTGTGATCAGGAATGGAGGAAGCCAATACAAGGTGGTGATGCACCCCGATATCTGCAAAACTCTAACAGCCCAAGGCATGGAAGGGGAAGAAGAGAGGAGGGTTAATTATTCCTGTAGCTGTGGGTCCACATCAATCTGCAAAGGAATGAAGCTACTGCCGACTACAGCTCCGCAGGGAGGGAGCCTGGGGCATAAATATCCAAGCCTCTCTTCTTGAAAGTGCTTCTCATTGGTGCATCCCAACCAGAAACCAGTGAGCAAGGGAGCCCATTGACCCAGCACACACAGGCCGCCCTGGGCGCAGAGCAGCGCGGAAAAATGAGAAGAGTGGATGAGCAGGCACCAGCAGAGAGCACGAGAGCTGAGAGGCTGATTCAGGTTTGCAAATTTATGTAGATCGATATATTTATGCAGATCTGGGTACTTCACTGCCAATATTCTTCTGGTTTTATAATGATACAGTTCATCCCACATCGATAGTATTAAACAAAGCAGCAACAGAAAACAGAACTGCTCGCCCAGGATGTGCCTGGGGTAAAGGGAGGGAGGAAACTGAGCAGCAGTGTTGCCCGTCTGCTGTTCGCTCAGGCTCCCCACCTCCACCCCTGCCAGGCCGTCAGCTGTGCCTCTGGCCGCTGGCTGGTTCTTTCTTTCCTTTCTCTCCTTTCCTTCCTTTCTTTTCTTCCTTCTCTTTCTTTTCTCCTCTTTCTTTCCTTCCTTCTTTCTTTCTTTCGTTAAAAAAAATTTTTTTTTCAACAGGAGACAGGGCTTGGATTATTGACGAAATCAAAAGGGTAAGTTGGGGGATTGCATGTCTCCGTCCTGCCAGTTGTTTGTCCAGCAAACAACATTTCCTCCGTGAAACTTCAGCCTCCATTTGAAGTGTGGGGACCAGACTTGAGCAGGCAGCGAAGCTTCCATGGAGAAAACCCTCTGTGATCCTGGCTAACTTTGATCTGCTCTTTCCCAGGTACTCTCGGAACCCGAGTCCACCAGGGCACTCTCCCTTCGGCCCTGTTTTATTACCCACAGAGAAGCACATTCAGCAACAGACTTTGCTCCTGGACTTTTCCTTGAGTAGACATATTCTCTCCGCACAGGAATTTGCTAATTTTAGAGCAGTTAAAATGTTCCCTACGGTGAGTCAAGGAACCCCTGAGCGCCCGGACAGCGAGGGAGGCAGACCCGCTCAGACACTGCCCTCTGCTGGCAACTGTTGGGACTGCTCAAGTCTTCAGCATGGGCTGTTGGACACTTCCAAGCTGTCCGCGGCTCATCCTCCTGCCTGGGTTGTAGATACACCTGCAATGTGGTTAAGGCATTACTTAGAAAATCTCATTAACAGCATGGATGTAAAGAAACATTAGAGTATGATGCAGAAAGGTTTTTATGTGGCTTGATATCAAAAAGAATTTCTAAACACGACACAAGAAACAAAACACATAAAAGAACGGCAAACTTGACTACATCAAAAGCAAGAACTTCTGCATGGCAGAAGACACCTTTCACAAAGTTAAAGGACAAAAAGAAAGTACTTGCAACAAAGGATCAGTATCTAGAGTATATAAAGAACTTCCACAGGTCAAAAAGAAAATGAGCAACAATTCAGTGGAAAAATATTCTAAAGTTATAAAATACTCATCCACAGAAATATAAATATAAAATTTTATGAAATAAAATATATAAACTATAAATACCAAATTGGCCCCAAAATGTATGATGAAAGTGCTCAATAATTAGAAAAAATGGATGTTCAAACATGGTGGAGTCTTATTTTTCTTTTAACATATTAAATTAGAAAAAATAAAAGGGTATAGGCAAAAAGATATTTGCACATGCTATAGAAATGGCTGTAAATTGGTATGATCCCCTTGCAGAGTAATTAGTCAGTATCAATTAAGGTGCAAAATGTTTATACTCTCTATATAAACAGTGATTCCACATCTCCATTTCTGCCCGAGAAACTCTTACCCATGTGTTCAGAAGGCAGGCTCAAGGATATCTGTGGCAGCTTTGCCATAGCGACAAATTGGTTCATCCCTTACACACCTACACGCACAGATGTTTTTAAACCTACTATATGTACTGGTGCAGAAAGATCTTCAAAACCTATTTTTTTAACACAGAAAAAATTTGTTTTGTGAGGACACAGCAACTTATGCCAAACCTTACCAGTACACTGGCCATTCAATTGGCTTCAAAACCTTTTTCTGAGTGAGCAAAAATCAGAATGACACAGAATATGATAACAAATGTGAGAACACCCCCGCACATTAAACACTATTGCATTTTTTTCTACGGGTCTGTTGACACGTGGTGAAATGTGGAGAAGATGCATTGGCTCAATGGCAAGAGTCGCCTCCCGGGTGAAGGCAACGATTGGAGACGGTGTGCAAAGGCACCTTCAGCCTTATCTTCGATGTTTCCATTTTTTAAATAAAGAATATATTCATGTATTACATGTATAATTAAAATGAGTAAAAAATCACTCTTATTTAAAAGGAAGAAAGCCTTCCCTAGCCTTTGTTCATAAGCACCTGGAAAGACTAGAGAATCATGGAGGTATAAGCAAAATGGTGCCTTGGGTGGTTTGTCAGGGGACCTGCTAAGTAGAGGCCAGGGTGGTTGTCATGGAGACGGCTGCCTGCAACGCAAACCATCCTGTGCATTCATCTACACGTCAGACCATCTCGCATTCAGTGTTGCACTTTCAAATGTTGGTTCACCAGCTCCATAGTTATAATACCATGCCTAGTACTTACTGAGGGTGTTTGACATTAAAATATAGTTATCTTATTTAATCCTTTAGTCTCTCCCTTTCTCTGTCCCCCCACCCCCGTCTCTCTGTCACTCTGTCTGTGTCTCTTTCTCCAGATGAGGTTACTCAGCTGTAGAGATAATAAATAACCTGTCCGAGGTCAGTTGACCACTATGTGGTAGAGTTTGTCCTAACCTCAGCAGCCATAATCTCAATGATTTAAACCATGTTACACCATCATAAATATCTTTGTAAGTTTCATTAACCTCAAAACATCAGTGTCCTGCCAGGAGGTTTCCTGACTGTCTCTGCCACTCAGGCCACGTCCATTTGCCACATTTCTCTGAATCCAAACAGCCACTGAGTCATTCTGAGAGAAACATCTACCGTAGGATGGAGTGTTATTTAAGCCAGTACAACCAAGACAAATACACACTAAAAGAACAACTAGGAGGTTAGAAATAATCCTCAACCGGAAGGCAACTTAAAATATTTTTGAAGTTAATTTTAGAAAAATAAACTAATCAGTAATAGCAAAGCTTAAAATCTGACAATAATAGAAGCCCTGCAAAATTCTCACAGAATGCAGTGTGGCCCCTCTTCCAAATTCTGGCCATTTCTCCTGCTCACATAAAATGCGCCCCAGTGATGCAGCGCCAGTCTCACGGCTTGACCACTCCTGCCAGGCAAAGGGAATACAGCTGAGCAGCCTCAGGGATCACAGAGCCCCGTCCAGGGCAGAGGCCCGTCCAGGGCAGAGCCCCGTCCAGGGCAGAGGCCCGTCCAGCGGGGCTCCTCAGGTCCTTTTCTCTTGCTGAGGAGAAAAAACGCTTCCCAGGGATGTTTCCAGAATAACTTATGAGCAGAAGGGGCAGCAGGTTCACAAATCAGAGCTCTGATTCCTTTCTTTCAATTAAAAAAAAATGAATTAATCTCTCTGGTTTCCTACTTGAGAACAGGTGTGTTGATGAATAATACATAGATGGGCAGGCCTAGAAGTTCTGACAGCAGATGAGACCCGGAGTGTTAAGATTCCACGGTGGATTTTAAGTAGCATCACACAGGCAAGGGAACCTGGGAAAACACAAAAAACTCTCTGCAAATAATAAGCACATCGAGGCCCCTAGCTATGTACACAAATGTGTCTCCTCTCTGATGGTGGTAATTAAAAGTCATAGGTTCCCACTCGAGGAAAGGGAAATGAATCAAGAAATGCAGTCTAAAAAAAAGATTGAAACATTAGGGTTTTAATGAACCTGAAGTTTCAGGGCAGATAATGAAGAATGAAGGGCATTTAAATTTTGCTTTTTGGGCTGCAACTCCAAACCTTTGCGCCTGCGGGGACCGACGGGGGGGGCGGGGGGGGGGCGCAGGAACCGTGCAGCACAGCAGACCTGGGGCCGGGCAGGTTGTGGCGCAGCTCCCGGTCCGTTCTGGGGTTTTGCTCCCGGCCTCCCAGCAGCTTTCCGCAGGCTGTTCTGCCCACCAAAGACAAGAGGCGTTTTTCTATCTGCTGAACATGGGATAATATCACAGCATCACGTGGATTAGGAAGATTAAATGTCAGCAAAAGCCTTGTGATGTAGGATTTCTTTTTTTAAAAAAAACATACTTTATTGATTATGCTATTACAGTTGTCCCATTTTTTTCTCCCCTTGTTTTCCCTCTCACCATCATTTCCACGCCCTCCCCCCCTTAGTTCACGTCCATGGGTCGAGCATATAAGTTCTTTGGCTTCTCCATTTCCTATACTGTTCTTAACCACCCCCTGTCTATTTTGTAGCTACCAATTATGCTCATTTCTTGTAGCTTTTCCCTCATTCTCCCCACCTCCCCTCTCCACTGACAGCCCTCCATGTGATCTCTATTTCTGTGAATCTGTTCCTGTTCTAGTTGTTTGCTTCATTCATTTTTGGTTTTGGTTTTTTTAGGTTTGGTTGTTGATAGTTATGGTTTGTTGTCATTTTACTGTTCATATTTTTATCTTCTCCTTTCTAGATAAGTGCCTTTAACATTTCATATAATAAGGAGAAGAGGAAGAGCAAGAAATTGAGAATTTATTTGAACACGTAATGAAGGAGAACTTTCCCAATCTGGCAAAGGAAATAGACTTCTAGGAAGCCCGGAAAGCTTAGGGAGTCCCAAAGAATCTGAACCCAAGGAAGCACACACCAAGGCACATCATAATTACATCATCCAAGATTAAAGACAAGGAGAGAATCTTGAAAACAGCAAGAGAAAAAGAAACAGTTACCTACAAAGGAGTTCCCATAAGACTCTCAGCAATGTAGGGTTTCTAACCAGCAGGGTCTTAGCCTGCACCTCTTTGGGGCACACAGGATGATGTTGAAAAACATGCCACTAGCCGGCCTCAAGAGTTTGGTCCTTCGAAGGACTTTGAAATCCCCGGATTAAAAGGAAGCCGTGCGCATCACTGAGACCACTCATCTGTCCAGTTAGGAAATGTTGCTGTCCCAAGGGGGATAGTTTGAGATCACAACAACTTTAATGTAAATGCCTACATGGGTACGTGTGCATGTACACACCACACACACAAACACACTTTTCATCAGCTCTGTTAAGCAAAGAATTTTCACAAATAAAAGATTTGAATTTTTAAAGCAGTTTAGGTATTGTCTTGAGAACAGACGAGTCCTTTTAACCTTGCCTTATTCAAAAATGTAACAAGTGAAATATCACCCCTCCACCCATCCCTCCCCCTTAAGTAAAATGGCCTGAAATTTGGAGCAGAAGGTATTGCATTTGGAGCTGTGGCAGGCATCGTATTAATATGTGACTGAAAATAGACAGATCCCTTAAAGGTCTGCCCACATTGCAGAACTGGAAATAGATGAACCCCTTTCCCATTACAGCAACAATATTACAAGGCAGGATTTGTCTGCAAGAAAATGAATTGGCAAACAAGCCAGGACTAGAAGGTGGCTCCCGCCTCACTCTGCAGCCTGAGCAGGACTGGAGAGGAGAAACCCAGGGTGGGGGTGGGCCCCCAGGGCAGGGAGGACGGGGGCTGCACAGAACACCCACCACCCCGGTATCTCTTTCCAGATGGCTGCCCTTACGGATGGAACACCCCCTTGAGCCTCATTGTTGGAGCCAGGTTGGGTTGGGTCGAGTAGCTTGTCCCTTAATTTCACCCTGTTGGGACCAGTCCTTATAGTGGAGAGAGAGTACAGACTCTACCTGGCTCCACTGTGTATGAACTATGTGACCTTAGACAAGGCAGAAAGAGACACGTCCAGAGGTGGACTGGATAGGTGAGCAGTAGGAAGGAGACTTGGAGAGAGTTGAAGAGCCTGGCATGCTAGCGATAGGGTGACACTTTATACTGGGGCAACACCCCAGTCGTTACCCAGAAGCCCCCACTCGGCTTCCCCACCCCTGCCTGCAGGTCTCTGCTCCCCCTGGCGGTGAGGCATGTTCTACCCTCTCTCTCCGGACATCTCTCCCTGCCTGCCCACAGACCCATTTAGCATCTCCTGGGCACATAGCCCTTCAGTAGCCAGTGAAACTAGCAGGTGTCAGAGCTGAGAGAGAGAAAAATCTCAATCCCCACTGGAAGGTGAAGATCATTTTCTGCATTTCTACCTACAGGAAGAAGTGAAAAGCATGAAATCACATGCCAACAGGAAGAAAGAGTTTGAACTAGAATAACTTTGACAGCAGCAGGCACCAGCAGCTTCCCGGTCATGGCTCCCAAAGCTGAACCCCTGGGGAGAAATGGGGGTGGCAAGCAGAAACACACAGGTAGAAGTCACCTTGACTTTTCCCTGGTGGCCTGCTCAGCCTTTCCAATTGGATGTGCCACAGGCCCTCAGGCTCCCCCTACCCCAAACCCAGCTTTTCACGTCTCCCAAATCTGCTCCACTCCTAGGTCCCTTCTTACATAATGACTCCTGCCCAAGCCAGCGATCTGCTCGTCTCCGGGGACTGCTCTTACTCCCTCATGTCACCCCACTATTGCGCCAGCCACAGCCACTCAGCATCTTGCCCCGGCCGTTCTGTCCCTGCCTTGCCCATCTCCACGGCCAGTAGCTTCCCTCAGGCTCCAACATCTCTTGCACGGACTGCTGCAGTAGCCTCCTGGCCAGCCTCCACTCCGACTCTCTGATCCAGCCTCTATTTCACTCCCAGTATATCCCCCACCCCCCAAAAAAAATGCAAATCTGATGATGGAACTTCTTTTTTGAGAAAAGCCTTGAGAAGTTTCCCTCCACTGTCAGGGTAAAGTCCAAACTC